AGCCTGCCGCCTCGACAGCCAAGGCTTCATCAAGCTCGGGATCAGCACGGGTGTATTGCAAGCTGACCCAACAGAAGACCACCGTGGTATGCAAGTCGCTTCTCCAAAGCAAGCTACAACGAAAGTTTGAGCACAAGAGCTACGCAGGCTCTTCGCACGCTGTTGCTGTGGCAGAAGCCTTCCAGTCAAGTGTTGAATCCATGTGTGTGGAATTGCTCACCGCGACAAAATTGGATCAGCTGAAGACCTTTTGCACAAAGCATGGTATAGATTTGCCTGGGGGAAGGCTCAGCAAGGTATTGCTCGTCGATGCCGCTGAAGAGGCAAGCATTGTGGAAAACTAGTTCACACTTTTCAAAATCTATATATATATAATACAGGAGATTTCAAACTTGCCTGTCAAGCTTTTTGCACATACAGTTGGCAGCGAGTTTGTTATTACATGTTCAACCTGTTTCTATCTATTGTATCCCACAGGGATTTGCCCGATCAACGATCCTTTCAGGCCTTTTATGATGGCAAGTGCAAACATTTGGAAGACAAGCTGCGCGCAGCGTATCAAAAGAGCACCGGCGCTGATTGCACGCCGGTGGGGTCTGCGAGTTTGAAGCATGGGATAGTCACGGATCCTTTGACGGGCAAGTTCATGGCCACCTTTGACCTTGGCAAAAATGGCTCTGTTTGCAAAATTTTTGTGGACAAGCAAGATGCGGACTTTTGGTGGGATTCTATGCAGTCTCTGTTTCAGAAAGGTCGGCTTGTGCCAAACCTTGCGGCTGTACGCCAAGCTCAGGCAACCCGGAAAGCGACAGCGGCTGTCATAGAGCAAATCATGAAAGAGAACATTTCCATGAAGGGTGAGGAGAATGTGAACTACTCCAGAGACACGAAAGAAGGCTCTGACGTTTTCCAAACCTTTTTCCGTGAGACGCCAGCCTCGCAACTTCGGCCTTCAAAGGTGCGGATTTACAAGTCATCGCTGGAACAGCTGGAAGCCTTAGCCAAGACTCAAGACATCCAAGGTGTTCTTGCTGGCATGATGCATATGCAGCTGGGATGGCGCGCCAAGGTTTGCATTGTGACGGGAGGCTGCTTCACTGACAAAGACGCGGATGAGTTTATCGAGAGCTCTGGCATGACCAAGCTTGGCATTTTTTCATCCAGCACCACGGTGGATCCTTCTGATGCAGCGGTTGCAAGCCTCCAGCTTGTGAAAAAAGTCTCCAAGTGTGCTGTACCCCTCCTATTGCTGTTCATCCAGGAGAAGTTCAAGGTCACGCCAAGAGGCTTTGAGCTCAATCCAACGACCAATGAGTTGGAAACCGTTTCAGTGGAGACTATTGCAAAGCGTGCAAGTGGTGAGGAGTTCCAAGTCTTGGGTGTGGATGGTCCTCAAACAAAGGCAGATCCCAGGTCAAAAGCCACCTAGTCGCAAAAAACTGTGTGCAAATTGTTTGTATTAGCCTATATTATACCATTTGCCCTGTGTTTTTTGTGTAGGACGCCCTGGTAAAGTTCTATTTCGCGCATTTCTATCTATTGTATTGCACCACGTATTGCATTGGATACAAAAGATAGAAAACAGCTGATTTGGAATCTGTTTAGTGTAAAGTTGCAATATGGCAGATAGGAAAATCATGTATGATTTTCCTCTGAGGTTCGGGAAGCTATGGCCAACATGTTCCAGAGATCTTCCAGCTCCGCCGCTGATGCAGATGCAGATCTTCTCTCAAAAAAAGCCTTTGAGATGGCCAGGCAGGCGTGCAAGCTTGGCTCTGCCCCCCCAATTCCTTCTAGGCAGTCGTCAGGGGAGCCAACGCCTTCTCCTTCTTCCACCCGGGCCCCATGCTCACAGCAAAAACCACCTGCAGAATCAGACTCACCTGGACAGCCACCTGCAGAATCAGAACCGCCTGGACAGTCAAAACCACCTGCAGAATCAGAACCACCTGGGCCTGGGCGGCCTGGTCAACCAGAACCACCTGCCACGGAGCCAACAGCTGAGAGCTCCAATTCCAAGACATCTGACCTGGGTGGGGAGGATGACCATGATGAGAAGGAAAACATGGAGCAGGCTGCGGAGGAGACCGAGGGCCACAGCGGTGCAGGTCTACACCAACAAGATACTTTTGATAGCTGTGACTGCACGTGCAGCCCTGACCTTGCAAGCTTGGAAGACATTCAAAGTTTACTTTGCGTTGCTGCACCATGGGCGCGACTTCTGGCTTCTGGAAAGAAAACATGGGAGCTCAGGCCCTACCCAACCCGCAAGCGATGCTGGGACACAATTTAGCAACCTGTTTTTGGTGGTAGTGTGCATATATATATATGCCAAACCATGTATGTTTGGAGCACCCAAAAAACCTCACGTATGGACATGCCTGAAAATAGCAGGGGGATACAGTAGATAGAAAAGTTACTTGTAGCAGTGTATCTCCGG